TATATATATACACTAAAATAAACTACTGGTACTACTTGCTAGTCAACTTACTACTACTGTCTTACTACTACTTAATATTACTACTACTGTACTACTTCGCGGTTTTTCACTTATCGCGGGACTTCAGTGTACAGATCCCCTGCGATAAACGAGGGACTACTGTATTACCAATTAAAACAAATCTGTGGGTTTGTTTTCAAACAATTAGTTGAATTCATTATCTCCCACCACAGACAGGTAAAATGCGGACGATTGTCTCTACATTACAGTGTCTTGTGATTATGGTTGGATTTATTTGGACCGCTCTGTGTTTGACAGGATCCAGTGACGGGTCTTCTGCCAGGCAGCACGGATCAGCCGGACGCCTGGGTCAGAGACAATGTTTACAGCATCGTGTCCGTGTGGGCCCTCAGTCTGGCCTACAGGAAGAACGCTGACAGGGATGAAGACAAGGCCAAGGCCTATGAGCTGGAGCAGGTCGGTGTGTGTCTCTATGCCTTATACTTTAACTTTTGTGTTCACTTTGATGGCATTATAAATTTGAAACCTCATGGATGTTTTTTATTGCACCCTTGGAGACAAACTATGGACTGGATCTTAAATTTGTCTGCAAGAAGCAGGATGTTTATTATCCCTAAACTATGATCATATCTCTGTGTAGAGTGTGGTGAAGCTGATGAGAGGTCTCCTTCAGTGTATGATGAGGCAGGTAAGTTGACTTTTTAACAGACGACTTTTAGTCTTCTTGATGTTACCTCAGTGCCACTGTTGGTGCAATGAAGATTGAAGCCTACCGGTAATTTTTTTTTTTTAAGTTACGTCCAGCAACGTGCAGGCGGTTTGTGCAGTTAATTGCAGCAAAGAATTGGTGAAAATTGGTATTGCGTGTTATTTATTTATAGCCCTTTCACACTGGATGACAACTGCTAGGATAGGACACAAAAATCAGCCAGAATGTGTTGGTAAAGTCTTCAGGTGTGTGTTAAGATCGCTGTATGCTCACCATTAACTATAATGGAGAGTTTTACATGCACAATGATTTTGAGCGTGCATTCAACATGTCAGGTTCATCATCATAGTGGCAGCAGGGCCTTGACGTGCAGCCCACACGTATAGCGTAGTCACTGAAATATTAGGCTGTTTTACAAGGCACCTCATTGTGTCTTCTGAATAAACCGAGGCGGCAAGAGGGGTTGAAGACAACGTACCTCTGATGCACCTCTGTGTCTCTGATCGAGGTAGTAACAGAACCGGACCAGCTGACATGGAAAACAGTAAGCTGCTGTGCCGTTGCTCAGAAATGTGATGAGCTAAAGACCGTGTGCAAACGACAACAAACAGATTTATTAGAGAGGAAAATTTGATTATGACACAGCAACTTTGTAGTTAGTTTTAAAAAATAGTTAATTACAAAGAGGATCAGTAACGTCAGTTATTTCATGGTGTTTTCAATCAATCAATCAATCAATCAATCAATCAATCAATCAATCAATCAATCAATCAATCAATTCAACTTTATTGTCCATAACATTCAATGAAATGGAGATTTGTCTTTGACATCTGGCTTATAAAAACTAAATAAAAATGTGATTAAAAAACTTTTAAAAGCTTTGCTAAATCAATTAAAAACATGCAGTTAAAACCATTCTAAAATACACGATACATTAAAATATGGGAACATTCCAGCAGACAGTGGTTTGCTATGCGAGGCTGCGTTTAAATAGGACCTTGTTAAGTACATTCACCGCAGAGGGAACAAATGACTTTTTGTACCCATTTTTCTTTGCTAAAGGAACCAGGAGTCGTCTACCAGATGGTACCAACCTGAATAATGTTACAGTGGATGAGTTGGGTCATTGTAAACCTGTATTGCCTTTTTTTCCAGAACCTGACTGTACAGGTCTGTAAGTGTCGTTTGTTGGTGACCAATGACTTTACTACCTTGTTTGACCACCTGGGACAACTTGTTCCTGTCTCTGGCTAGGAGGTTCCCATACCATGAGACAATATTAAATGAAACAACACTTTCAACCAGTGACCTGTACACCAACTGCAAAGTAAACCAGAACCAGAATCAACCTTTATTGTCATTGCACAGAAGCACAACAAAATTACATTTCAGTACAGTCGTCCAAAGAAAACAACATGGGTAGACGGTTCCTGAGGCTGCAGCCTCGTGGGAAGCGCCGCCCTTTTTGTTTAGATAAGGAAAAAGGGAAAATATGAAGAAAGAGGAGGTATAAAAAAAATCATATCTCACATTGTGTCCTTGACGGGACACAGTGTGAGGTTGCAAAAAGACCTCAGCACAAGAAAAAGTAACATACTGGTGACAGAAAGACATAAAGTGGAGTGGGTGAGGCTGGGGGTCCCAGCACAGGCTGCCCAAGTGAGCGACACACCTTTAAGTATTAACTTTTAATTTAACTAGGGGTGCACCGATTTATCGGCCCCAATTTTTTTTAATTTTGGGAAATCGGAAATCGGCCGATACTTGCACGAGAAACCGATTTGACCAATTTTTTTGGAGTTTTATCAACAATTGTTTGAACTTCATTTACAGTATATTTCAGAGCACTACTTCATGACCAGTTAAAAGAAGTTTGTATTCTTTCTAGGATATTGTTCAAGGGTATGTTTTTCAATAAAACAAAATTGGAGAATTCAAGGTGCTTTGTGGCCTTATAACACCTGACAGTGTCGCTTATAAAACAAATCGGCAGCGGACAAAATCGGAATCAGCTGGTCAGGTTTTTTAGAAATCGGTGATCGGCCAGAAAACTGCAATCGGCGCACCCTTAAATTTAACCATTAAGGCAAACAATGTAATTATGACTAAAAATGGAGGATTTACTTGCAGTTACATCAAAGTTCATGCTCAGCTTGCGGTTACCTTCGTACAGACGAACATGTGGTACTTCCTGTTTATCACTGTTGTATTCAGTTCCTCACGAGGTCGGCCGCTGTATCCATCTTTTGTATTTTTCCAAACTCAGTTTAGGTTTTGGAAATTAAATAAACTGTATTACATCCTTTAAATGCTCAGGGTAACACTGGTCTGAATTGCATGTTCTCCACTGACAATGCTTAACTATTTTTTCCAATGATTTTTTTCACAAAATCCCTATGACCGCAAAGTGTTCATAATGCAGAACCCCGACAATGTTGTCGGAGGAAAAGGGGGTGGAGCTCCTGCAGGTAAGGGGAGTTTCACTTTGGGACAAATTGTGATCACTGGTCAGTTGCTGATGAGCCTACTGGACTGATTGACAGATGGCGTCATGTCAGTTCCCTTTACATTAGAGAAATTTTCCAAATTTGCTGCATGTTCAGCCATGTTCAAACGGTTGTGTAGGATCAATTCAATTCAGTTTAATTATATAGCACCAAGTCACAACAGAAGTCATCTCAGGGCACTGAACAGAAACATTTTTATATAAAAAACAATAATTTAAGACTGTTTATCTGTGTAGTTAGGGGAGAGTGTTGTGGGGTTGTCATCAAATGTGAAGAGGGCCTTATACTTTTATTGATATGTATCCAAAGAGAGCTAATTTAAAAATGTAACTTTTAAATAAAACACACACTCATTCTTTCAGTTTTTGGAAGAAGGAAAAAATACAAATAGCAACATCATAAAAGCAACTTTCAATGAAAACCTCCTTTTTTTAACATGTATCTTTATAAAATGTAGTATTGGTCATTATGGTGTCTTTATTTTATATTTTATTACTGAATTCCAATTTTTAAATTGGTAATTATATCTAGGCAAATAAATCAGCCTCGCCATCATCTTTATCCACTCCTTTTACAGCTAGACAAGGTGGAGAAGTTTAAATACAGCCGAAGTACCTCAGACTCACTGCATGCCAAGTACAACACCAAGACTTGTGCCATCGTTGTCGGGGATGACCAGTGGGGTCACCTGCAAGTCGACGCAACCTCTCTCTTCCTGCTTTTCCTCGCTCAAATGACAGCATCTGGTATGAGAGAACCTGTTTTGATACATCTGACTTTTTTAGCATTGCAGACTGAGTCCAAGTCCCTTTCCATTCCAGGTCTACATATTATCTACACCCAAGATGAAGTGGATGTAGTGCAGAATCTCATGTTTTACATTGAGGCAGCATATAAAGTCGCTGTAAGACCTACTGTAATGTTCTTTTCTCAATGACTGAAATAGTCTGTTATGACTTTTTAAAGTGGTTTTGTAAAATTTTCTGTCTGTTTTTTTCTGGTTGTCCACAGGATTATGGAATGTGGGAGAGAGGAGATAAAACCAACCAGGGTATCACCGAGATTAATGCCAGCTCCATTGGCACAGCCAAGGTTAGCACAGAAGCTTGCAGTAAACTATTTGACTTAAAAGTTCTTCTTACCATAAATCCAAAAAAGTTCAATCTGGTCCTCTGGACATTCAATTAAATGAATGAATGAATGAATGAATGAATGAATGTCCGGAGGACCAGATTGAACTTTTTTGGATTTTTCTACCTGGATTATTGAGCACACATCAGAATATTTCTTACCATAAAGTTTTTACGTTGCTACCGATGATAGCTGCCTTTTCTTTAGTATCTCTTAACCTGTGGAGTGCCTCAGGGGTCTATACTTGGACCACTTTTATTTTCTCCATATATACTGTCTTTGGGCCACCATATACTTAATTTGTATTGTGTTTTGTGGATGCTCTGCCAAAGATACTCCGATTTACTTATACTTTAACGCCGGGCTCTTACAAATGTTATAGTTTTACAAAACACCTTGTCAGAGATCAGAAACAATATATTTGTTTAATCTAAATTGGCATTACTGTGCCTAGATTTTTTGCCTCAAATTAAGTTTCAGGTTGTATTCTCTTGGCTCTTTAGATGGTCACTCAAAATAATTTTGTAAAGTTTTACTGGTCATTGTTGACCACCAACTTAAATTTGAGAAAGTCCTTTATTGCTCAGTTTAGTTATTTTATCTCTAGCTGAAATATGCCTTCTGTTATCATCATTTAGAAACTATAATTTCAGGGTTTTTTTGTCGTTACGCCTAAACTATTGTCACTCGCTCTACTTCTGTTTAATCTTCTCAGATGAATCAGTTGGTTTTGATCTCATATTACTCCAATCCTTTCTTTCCTCTCTACGCTGGTTTTTGTTCACTTTCGGGAATGGATTTAATATCCTTCTTCTTGTCTATAAAAACCCATGAACAAACTGGCTTTTGCTTACATAAGTGAACTTTTACCTCTTAACCTCACCTCAGATCTTCTGATCAAGGTTTTCTAGTAGTTTCTTGTTCTTAATTGAAAAGAAAAAGGGACTGCGTGTTATTCACACGTTCCAGACCATTTAAACCAATTTTTGTCTTGGAGTCACTATCACGAGCATTTTTTAACGTTTTAATTGTTTGTTTGTTGTACATAGTTGATTTTACCTATTTCTTTGACAGAACTTTGTTAGCTGTGTTTTAAAAAGTGCTTCATAAATAAAAGTCAGTATGTTAGAAGGCTCAGGTTAGTGGTTGGGAGCAGCCTGAATGAGAGCCAAGCGTCGGAGCTGTGAAGCAGAACAGGTGGTCCAGTTAGAATCTCTGGCATGGTGGGTAATGCTCAGTCACTGCTGAGGCCTTTACCCTGACATTTAGACGACCCAGACCATCCGAACTGACTCTGGATCAGATGAGACGTCTTTGTTTCAGTGGTGAAACATAGCAGCCGCCGAGCTTCTTGGTCTCAGTGTGAACAAACTGAAACAGAAGAGCTCATTTAAAAAATATACATATTTTTAATATAAAAGGCTGTTTCTAGATTTGAGTGTAAATTTTATTCTTATAAATCTTTATATTTTAGTTAAAAGTGGGACTTTATACCAATTATAGATTGTCATTAGGCTTTAATGTACAGTAGTTTTGGTCCAACCCTGCTTCTGCCTCTGTATGTCCTTGACTGCGCAGGAGGCGTCATGTTCTCTGTGGTCATCTGAGAATGGCCTCTCACTCAGAAATAACGCAGCACTCAAAGTGCTCACTGCAGTAAACACACTCACACAGTTTAATTTAAGATTTTGGAGACAGTCATCACCGCAGGACATTCCCAACTCTGCTAATCATATGTATTTGTTGGGATTTATAATGTTTGTCCTCGTTCAACTGAACTTGCACTTCATTTAATGTAGTATTGTGTTGCGTTTTAAACACTGAAATGCAGTAAGCTACGGTAGTTAATGCACTTCACTCAGTTATACTCAACTATGGCACGCCCTTTAAATTCAAATCATTAATTCAAAGTTGTGTAAAGAAACATTCATTCAACCTTTATTTAGACAAAACCATAATGTGCCAAACACATCTTTAGCAGTAGTAACCATCAGAAATTGTCTTCTGTATGACCTTATACTCAAATTTCCTCCTGGGATTAATAAAGTATCTATCCATCTATCCATCCATCCTACCTACCTGTCCATCCATCTATCTATCCTATCCATCCCATATATTATCTATCCACCCATCTATCCATCCTATCATCTATCCATCCATCTATCCTACCTACCTAACTACCTATCCTACTTATCCTACCTACCTACCTATCCATCCATCTATCCTACCTACCTAACTACCTATCCTACTTATCCTACCTACCTATCCATCTATCTATCCTATCCATCCTATCTATTATCTATCCATTCATATATCCTAAATACCCATCCATCCATCCATCCATCCATCCATCCATCCATCCATCCATCCATCCACCCACCCACCCACCCATCTATCTATCCTACCTACTCATCTATCTGTCTTACCTACCTACCTGTCCTACCCACTTATCCTACCTACCTGCCCTACCTAGCTATCCATCCATTCATCTATCCATCCAAGTTCGTCCACGACATTTCAGTTTTGTTAAGATTTGGACTTTCAACATTCCTAACATTACATTTTTATTTCTTGTCTGACATTTTGCTGCATATTTGCTACTAGTGTTTTTCTTGTTTGATTTTTTGTCAGATGTCCTCTTGTTTGACTCTTGCCCTCCTCTGCCGTGTCTGACTGTTAGTTGGTTTAACTTCTATGAAAACTGGAAGGGTGGACTTGGTTTTTACACCTTGGTGGCTTGTTTTTTGTTAAATAATTAATGATGCAGTAACATCTGTTTTGCTCTTTGTCCTCCAGGCAGCACTGGAGGCGCTGGATGAACTCAACCTGTTTGGAGCAAAAGGAGGACCTGGATCAGTGGTCCATGCTCTAGCTGATGACATACAGCACTGTCAGGTACATACATGTGCATACGAACATTTAAAAGAATTTGCAGCATCTTTTATCCTGAAATCAAAGTTCTGTTTCTTTCATCTGGCCACCATCAGTCCATCCTGACGTCCATGTTGCCTAGAGCATCCATCTCTAAAGAGGTGGACGCTGGAGTCCTGGCCATCCTCACCTACCCCGCCTTCGCTGTAGAGGACATGAACATCGTCAACATGACCAAGGAGGAGATCATCTCCAAACTGCAGGTAAAGGCAGCATCTGAACCTACGGCTTCAAAAACTTACATATGCCCCTTTTGCACCGCCCCTAATAAGTCCCAACTCTGGGCACCTGCCACAGAAAGAACCCTTTTGCACCAGCACTTTAGCTAGTATTTTTAGCTGATTTGAGGCTGATTCAGGACCTCTTTTCATCCCTGCTTCTCTGGTGGGACCGAGCGAGCTCAGTCGAGCTGAGTCCGAACCAAAACGTGAATGCAGGACTCTGATTGGTCAGGGGGAGGAGTCAATGGATCTCAGAAAATTTTCACTGAGCCACCATTTGCAATTTCTCTGGATGCGGAGCAGCGGGTGGATCTATTTTTAAGATTTTAAAAACAATAATGACAACGCCGTGTTTAATTCTGAAGTCCAGGCATTTATTGTGTTTGGTGACCGACTATAAAATTCGAGCGAGCGGTGTCACCGGGGAGGATCATACGAGCTGCCGAGCCGTTGAAGCCCGCGAGGCCGAACCCCAAGCCCCGGCCTCGCCTGCTCACTGTAACTGGCAGGCGGGAGGACCGGGATGGAGGGACGGGGGGTGGAAACTTTTTTTTTTTTTTTACATTTTATGTATAAAATATAATTTTTTTTTTATCAGTGAAGATTAAAAATAAATAAATGGTGCCGGCTTTATCGTGAAATCCTGTTTTCTCTTTGACTTTATTAAATAATCTGTTAATTAAAGTTAATTCAACTGAAAAATCATAAAAAGACTAAATTATTGAATCAGGAATATTTCCCTCAAACATGTTTAAAGTAGAGACACAGCCCTTGGTTCAACATTATTCTAACCCACAGATGTACAAATCACAAAACAAGCATTACACTTTAAATTAAAGCTTTAAATCAAAGCTAAATTTTAATTCAATGCTAAATTAATCTGTATACAAGAAACAAAACCACAGTGAGTGCAAATACATCAAATGATGAAGAAAAATATAGAATTTTAAATATAGATATCCTGATGCATGCTCAATAATCCCAGGTAGAAAAATCTAAAAAAGTTAAGTCTGGTCCTCTGGACGTTCAAAAAACAAAACAAACAAAAAAAGTAGAAACGTTTCTTCTTTCATCCAAAAGACTTCTTCAGTCTGAGGTGCTGTATTCAGCTCAGTCTTATATAAATAGCTATTTATGAGCTGAATACAGCACCTCAGACTGAAGTGTTTCCGATGAAAGACGAAACATTGCTACATTTTTTTTTGTTTGTTTTTTGTTTTTTGAACGTCCAGAGGACCAGACTTAACTTTTTAGATTTAAATATAAATGTTTTTGTAGAATCTGGTTCATCAGATTTAATTCAGTTCAGTTTATTTATACAGTGCCAAATCACAACAGAAGTTGTGTCAGGGCACTGAACAGAAATATTCATATATAACATAAGTTAACAGAAACACTCATTTATAAAAATAAAAATTGTATATTATTTATCTGAGGCGCAGACTGCTTTGAGTAACTCATCGCAGAACTCTCATTAGCAGGACTTGGATTCTGGACACCCCTCCAGAATCGGTCCTAAAGTGCAGGTGCAAATCCAGGCTGAGCTGAGCCAGGCTGAGTAGGGGTGTGCAGGGCTGAGCAGAGTTGGGGCTTATTAGGGGTAGTGCAAAAGTTTGACTGCAAAAAACGTTCAATACAAAAACAACTGGACTTTATTTGTAACAGAAGACGTTTCGCTCCTCATGCGAGGAGCTTTCTCAATTCAAAGAGCAGAGAGTAGCTATGTTTACATGCGCAGAATTCTTTGACCGGATTGAAATGTGTTCTGTTTGAATAATTCAAATGTATTGTTTACATGGGCACAATCTGTTCATGACGAGTGTTTACATGCAGCGGGCTTTGTTCTGAACAGCAGTACTGACATGCGCAGAGTGGTAAACTCTCCTTAAAAAACCACCGAAGAAGAAGTTCTACTTCCGGGTAAATGTAAACAAACCTGAGCACCCAAAATGGACCCGCGACAGGTTTTAATGATGGTGGAGACGTTACTGCACTCCCTGACTGAGCTACAGGTAATAGAAATCATTTTGAGCTCTTTAAAAGTTTCTAGTAGAAATGTTGTGTCGCTCACCGACCAGATTTACTTCCCTGACATGCTAATATTATTAGCGTTAGCCAGGCGGAAATGGCAAAGTCGCACATGCGCAGTCAGGTCAGTTTTTCACCATCAGATAAAAAAGGAACAGATCAAGCGTTTACATGCGCACCGATCGGGTTTCGGATCGGCGTAAACCACCCGTTTCGTTCTGATCAGAAATTATAATGGATCGCGCCGAATACACAAAAAATAACCCGAACGGAGTGTTTACATGACACACTTTTATTCCGACCGGCCATTTGATCCGGTTACTTATGTCCATGTAAACATACCCAGTGAGAGATTCAGGTTATAATGCTGAGTGAGATAAGACACACACACGTAGATTTGACAATTCACACCTCAACACCTTAACAGTAGGGGCTTTTTAAGGTCTTTGTTCCTCTAATTCACAGATGAGGCCCCTCTGTTCCCCTCAGGTGTGAAAACCAGCTGGGAATCTGTCTTACAGTTGCATTATAGGTTTTTGAAAGTGGAAATCCGAGGCCTCCTCCTCTGTTAAGAGACTGCTTTTCCCTTTTTACATAAATTGCTTCCTTCACCCCTCTCTCAAACCATCTGTGTTCTCGGTCAAAAATGTGCACATTTTGGTCCTCAAAAGAGTGTCCCTTATCTGTGAGTCAGAGGCTCAGACTCAAAGGCTGGTCCACCCTGTGACGTAACAGTGACGTAATGACGTCAACACGAATACTCGACGTGAAATTAAAAAACTCAATAGATGTTCTAGGAATTGATGTGTAGATTACTCAAGTAGTCGGTTAAAGCCCTAATATATATGTATATATATATATATATATATATATATATATATATATGTATGTATGTTTGTGTATATATACAGGTCCTTCTCAAAAAATTAGCATATTGTGATAAAGGTCATTATCTTCCATAATGTAATGATAAAAATGAAACTTTCATATATTTCAGATTCATTGCAACCCAACTAAAATATTTCAGGTCTTTAATTGTTTTAATACTGATGATTATGGCATACAGCTCATGAAAACCCAAAATGCCTGTCCCAAAAAATTAGCATATCATGAAAAGGTTCTCTAAACAAGCTATTAGCCTAACCATCTGAATCAAAGACGTAACTCTAAACACCTGCAAAAGATTCCTGAGGCTTTTAAAAACTCCCAGCCTTGTTCATTACTCAAAACCACAATCATGGGTAAGACTGCCGACCTGACTGCTGTCCAGAAGGCCATCATTGACACCCTCAAGCAAGAGGGTAAGACACAGAAAGAAATTGCTGAACGAATAGGCTGTTCCCAGAGTGCTGTATCAAGGCACCTCAGTGGGAAGTCTGTGGGAAGGGAAAAGTGTGGCAAAAAACGCTGCACAACGAGAAGAGGTGACCGGACCCTGAGGAGGATTGTGGAGAAGGGCCGATTCCAGACCTTGGGGGATCTGGGGAAGCAGTGGACTGAGTCTGGAGTAGAAACATCCAGAGCCACCGTGCACAGGCGTGTGCAGGAAATGGGCTACAGGTGCCGCATTCCCTAGGTCAAGCCACTCTTGAACAAGAGACTGCGTCAGAAGCATCTCGCCTGGGTCTGCTACTTAGTGGTCCAAAGTTATGTTCTCTGATTACAGTAAATTTTGCATTTCCTTTGGAAATCAAGGTCCCAGAGTCTGGAGGAAGAGAGGAGACACAGAATTCACATTGCTTGAGGTCCAGTGTCAAGTTTCCACAGTCACTGGGGTGTCATGTCATCTGCTGGTGTTGGTCCACTGTGTTTTATCAAACGTAGGGTCAATGCAGCTAGCTATCAGGAGATTTTGGAGCACTTCATGCTTCCTTCTGCTGAAAAGCTTTATGGAGATGAAGATTTCATTTTTCAGCACGACCTGGCACCTGCTCACAGTGCCAAAACCACTGGTAAATGGTTTACTGTGCTCAATTGGCCTGCCAACTCTCCTGACCTGAACCCCATGGAGAACCTGTGGGATATTGTGAAGAGAAAGTTGAGAGACGCAAGACCCAACACTCTGGATGAGCTTAAGGCCACTATCGAAGCATCCTGGGCCTCCATAACACCTCAGCAGCGCCACAGGCTGATTGCCTCCATGCCACGCCGCATTGAAGCAGTCATTCATGCAAAAGGATTCCTGACCAAGTATTGAGTGCATAACTGAACATGATTATTTCAAGGTTGGCGTTTTTTGTATTAAAAACACTTGTCTTTCATTGGTGGGATGAAATATGCTAATTTTTTGGGACAGGCATTTTGGGTTTTCATGAGCTGTATGCCATAATCATCAGTATTAAAACAATTAAAGACCTGAAATATTTCAGTTGGTGTGAAATGAATCTGAAATATATGAACGTTTCATTTTTATCATTACATTATGGAAAATAATGACCTTTATCACAATATGCTAATTTTTTTAGAAGGACCTGTACATACTTTTATTTAAGGTCGTTTTCACACCAGATAGTCCGGTAGACTCGGTTCGGTTGGGGACCAATATTCATGACCTTTTGTTACATTTGAGCTGGTGCGTTTGCATTCACACTGCACTGTGCAGTCGAGTCAACCTGTTGAACCAACCTATTCCCCTGCTCGCCTGTGGGGGCGCTGCACCAAGAACTACTGAAAGAAACGACACAAAAATCTCTGAAGACACTTCTTTTTCTTCTTCTGTAAATAAAAATAAAAACGAAGTGGCATCAAGTTTTAGCAGTTTTATGAGTTATATTTTGTCATTTTTCAAAAATGGACTTAGCATGAACAGAAGATGAGACAGAAGACCATGGAGAATATTGTTTTTCACACAAGGCAGCTGACGGCTCCATAGAAGAGAAATTCATGTTTGTTTACCCTGTGGAGCGGTCCGGTCTGTTTGCATTCACACTGTACTCGAACCGTGCTGGAGTTCG